CCGGGCACCAAGAATACAGAGCATCCCTTGCCCCAGACCAAGAGCTCCTATCTATACCTTGTAGCTAACAGCCACTGATGGACCTCTGCTCCATATAAGAACATAAGGGAAGCCAATGTTGGGTCAGGTCAATGGCCCATCCAGTTCAACACTCTGTGTCACACAGTGGCCAGATTCCTGTGGCAGTGAATTCCAAGTGTTCATCACTCTTTGGGTGAAGAAGGACTTCCTTTTATCCGTTCTAACCAAATACTGTTTTGAATGTAGGATGTTTTAATTGTAGCCGCCACCACTTCCTGTGGCAGTGAATTCCATGGGTTAATCACCCTTTGGGTGAAGAAGGACTTCCTTTTATCCGTTCTAACCCGACCGCTCAGCAATTTCATGGAGTGCCCACTAGGCGTTCTTGTATTGTGAGAAAGGGAGAAAAGTACCTCTTTCTCTACCTGCTTTCCCTACCTGCTCCCTACCAGTGGCTCCCTGGGTGCTCCTGGCCCGATTCAAGGTGCAGGTCTTGGCCCGCAGAGCCCTTCACGGGGCCAGTGTGCCCAGAAGGCGGCCTTCTCCCACAGGAACTCCTCCGTTCTCAGAGGTGCCCCCTCCGCCGGAGGCTCAGATGGGGGGCAGCCCAAGAGAGGGCCCTCTCCGTTGTGGCGCCAAAAGGATGGGCCTCTCTCCCTGGGGAGACTCCTCTGCCTCCCTCCCTCCTTCCTTCTCGTCCACCAGCACTGTTCCCTCTGAGCTGAGTTTGTGTGAGCCAGCTCACAGTTTTTTAGCCTCCGGCTCACACATTTTTGTCTTCACTCAGGAAGGGATGGGGCTCCAGAGCAGACTAATTGATGCAGCAGCCAAATCGCTCGCTCACAACTTTCATGCCAGGAGCTCGCAGAGTAGAATTTTTGCTCACGAGACTCCGCAGCTTAGAGGGAGCCTTGCCCACCAGCGGGTGGAGACTTTGGTCTGGTCTGCTGTTCCCGCACTAACTCTTGTCCCCCCTCCTCCCCTGTTTATGTGTGGGGGGGTGGGGGTAGGGGGGCTTCCAGGCCACCTTCAAGCTCCAGACCTAATTTAAAAAATGGTCAACTTGGTTAAAATGCTGGCAAAGTTAACGTTTCAGAGACGTTTGTCTTGTGTAAACCAGTTGGTCTGTGCAAATGATCCATCCCCCCACCACCACTGAAGAGCCCCCCCCCCAAGAGGTGTGGGGGGGCACTGATCCCCAACCTTTCTTTCGTATTGTTTAAAGGCTTCCCATCCCTCCTCCTCCTTGGACTCCGGACCGCTCGCAGAGCAACACGGGGCAGGGCCCTGCTTTGCTCACGGCCAGGCGAGGCCCTGACGGGTGGACCTTTTTTTCTCTATTCAGGAGGCCTTTTCCTGCGTCCTCCATGAGAACATTCCACCAAGCGAGTCTTGGGTGATGGTGCCGGAGCAGATCACGTGGGAAATTCAGAAATGCAAGGTAGTCCTCCTTCGACCAGCCTCTAAAATAAAGGCCCTTTCCTTATGTGCTGTACACTCGGGGGCTTGTTTTGTACTCTGCGCAAGCTCAGAGGCCCTTGGACCATCTTCAGCCTCTAAAATAAAGGCCCTTTCCTTATGTGCTGTACACTCAGGTGCTTGTTTTGTACTCTGCGCAAGCTCAGAGGCCCTTTGCTTGTCCCAGTGTCGAGTCCATCTGTTCAGACTGGTTTCTCTGCATCTCGTTACGGAGCTTGTCTCTGCTTCAAGGGCCTTTTCCTCCCCCTCTCCAGGAGATGTGTAAAGCTTTGGAGGCTGACCAGTTGTGTCTGGAGGAGGGCAGAAGGGAAAGCGAGCGGGAGGCGTCCAGGCAGCGGGAGGCGGCGGCACTGCTCCGTGAGGAGCTCCAGCAACTGAAAGAGGAGGCCCGGGCTGGGAAGTTCCAGGTAGGGTAGCCTTTAAACCAGCGTTTTGCAGATTTGTCCTTGAAATCATCACCTCCCTGCCGAATCAAATCATGCCTCAAGTCCACTTGAATTATCCCCTGAGAAGCTGAATCCTACAACCTGTAGAAACCTGTTCCAGTCCAACAAAATGATACTCATCTGCTTTCGTTGTTTAGTTTATTTTGCTTTTGCTAGTTGGTGAGTTTTGCTGGCCGGGGGTAGAGATGTAAAATTTCCGGAAATTTTGAAGCTCGGGAAAAAAAACCGTTTTTTTTCCGGGGGAAAACGGAAATTTTCGGGAAAAATTGAAAAAATGCTACAATAGCATTTCTTTTGTCTTTTCTAGTTTGAAAGTTATTCTGTTACTTTAGGAACATAAAATATGACTATGGACATTTTTACTTGGCATGAGATTATCACAATTAGCATATTAAAAATATAGTGTATCCAAACAATTATTACAGAATACCCACCCACATGCAAAAACAAAACTGAAACCTTTTTATTTTCTTCTGACAATCGCACCTCCTAAAGGAAGAAATGCATCTTGTTCTTGCATTGGAGAGTTCAGTTTGTAACCTAGGACTTGCTTGTCCTCGGTGCACAGAAATTACATCAATCTGATACCATATATTTTAGAAATGATTTGGAAAATATTTGCACACCTTGTCTTAAAATATTTTATTCATCATGTTAAAATAAAACGTTCCATAATCAATTTTTTTTTCATTCCTTTTTTCAATTTTTCCAATTTTCCGGAAAAAAACAAAAAGGCTTCAGGAAAAAACACGGAAAAAAACCGGTTTCCCCCTCGAATTTTTCCGGGTTTTTCTCCGGCCCTTCACATCTCTAGCCGGAAACATCCTGACCTTCTGACAGCGACCAGATCGCTTCAGTGCCCAAAAGCCCACTCAGGATCCTCATGAGGTCTCCCCAGGCGTCACCCGGGCACTTCTCTTTGCATCACCAGGGGCTAGAAACTTGCCTCAAAATAACAGTGTGTCAGCAGCACCACGAAGCTCCACACCCTGCGGCAGAACTGCAGAGTGCCGGCTCTGCTGCCAGGCAGCAGGTTTCTTGGGTGGGGGTGGCAGGCAAGGCCCGTTGGCTCAGCAGCAGGAGGAGCGGGGCCACGAAGAGCTCCTTCGATTAGCCAACAGCAGGGATTTACAATCCAGTTCAAAAAGGATTTTGGGGGGAGGGCCCTTTCTCACATCTGCTCACCTGTTTCTCTCTTTTGCTTCGTTGGGGTTTCCTCGATGGACCCTGGTGGCAGACTAATTAACACAGTGATGGTGCACAGCCTGATTAAAGAGTAGATAAAGGTTTATTTAGGAACTAACATACTTGATATTAAAGAGGAGGGACAGGAATAGGTTCCTAAACTACGTCTCTCTGGCTGAGAGGGTAAGACTCCCTCCCTCCTTCCTTCTCGTCCACCAGCACTGTTCCCTCTGAGCTGAGTTTGTGTGGCACTTTGGAGAAGGAGCAGGATATTGCCCGAAGAGTAGCAATCTGGAGACAGACAAGGAGCCGAACTTAACAGGACAGATCTAATTGTCCCCCTGAAGGGTCTTCATTGCCTGTTCCACCAGACCCTCAGGGCAGAGCATGGGTGACCTCTAGCAGTGGTTGGCCTGTTAGGATAGCGGAGTGTGTGGGGGGGAAGGAAGAAGAAGAAGAAGAGATTGGATTTATACCCTGCCCTTCACTTGGAGTCTCAGAGCAGCTTACAAACCCCTTTCCCTTCCCCTCCCCACAACAGACACCCTGTGAGGTCGGTGGGGCTGAGAGAGCTCTGACAGAAACTGCTCTTTTCCAAGGACAGCTGTGCCAGAGCTTGTGACTGACCCAAGGTCACATCAGCAGGTGCAAGTGGAGGAGTGGGGACTCAAACCCGGTTCTCCCAGATTAGGGTCCGCACACTTAACCACTACACCAAACTGGCTCTCTACACCAAACTGGCACAGGAAGGTCTGCCTGTGGCACATTAGTGAAGAGACTCCTTGCCTGGGACCCCGGGAGGGGGGGGGGTCTGCTGACTGTCTGCTCCAGCAGCCCCCCCCTCCCCTTTTCACACCTCCTGTGCTTTCTCCACAGGAACAGCCAGAATGGGGAAGTGAAGAGAGACGCCAGTTGCTTCAGCAGAAAGCAGCCCTGGAGAGTGAATTGCAGCAGCTGGAGAGGCTGCAAATTGACCAGGTACCAAAGGGGGGGGGGACATGGGATCTAGACCCCCACCCCCAGCACTGCTGAGAGAGGGGGGCCCCCGTTGAGTGGCAGATTTCTCCTGCAGAGAGCCCCGCGGAAGGAGGGCTCCCAGAGGTCTTATCTGGAGGCTGCCAGTGGCTGTGAGCGAGCGAGTCACACGTCTGGGTGGGGGAGGCTGGGGGCAAGTGCGGGGGGAGCCCCGGGGCCAGCAGCCCCTCTGGCAGGCAGCCAGCCGACAGCGATGGCAGACGCTCAGATGGGGGCACATCCCGAGGGAAGCCTCAGCCAAGAGGGGGTGGGAACTGGGAAGGAAGGCCCCGGCTTCCCGGGAGACATCTCCGGCCAGGCCTTCCTTTTGTGCCGGCCAGGCCAGCCAGTCTCCCAGTGACTGCAGGGCTTCAGCAATCCTGCCCCAGGCCCTTTCGACTTCCCCCGCCCCTGCCCCAGAAAAAAGGCTGCTGGTTTTTTTTTGGGGGGGGGCCTGCTGGGAGTTGCTAATCTCCAAAGCCCCGGCTTCTGGAGACCCTCTACCCTCTGGTGGCACTTCCAGGGTGTCATGCCGAGCCCTGGTCTGAAACGTGGGCTCCGTTGGACGGGAGGCTTCTTTTGTGGGGCGCGCCGCCTTCTGGGTGGGCACAAGGCTTGGCAGGAACAGTCCGCCTTCTCTCTCGTTTGCTGCACCAGGTGCCACCCGCCCCTCCGGAGAGGTTTATGGTGTTTAAAGGTCACACCGAAGAGAAGAAGGCGGAGAAATCATTGCTTGACGCGCTGTCCGTCGAGCCCCGGATCCGCTACCCTTTGCCTGGGGGGACGGCGCTGGTCACTTTCGAAACGCCTCAGGGTGAGAGCCCTCCTGGCCTTGCGTTGCCATGTTCCCGCTTGGTGGGCGCTCCAGTGGGTGTCCCTTGGCCGGGAACCACCGTTGAAGTCAAAGGCAGACGATCAGGATGGGTGGGAACTGTAGAGCCCTCTTTCCTTTGGGCAAATTACATTCTCGGCTTCAATTCCACGGCCTGTGAAATAGTCCGAACAGGGGCCTACCTTGCTGGGTGGATGTGAGGACCAAACCCAGTAAGGATTACAAACCACTTGCAAGTGAGGAAGGAAGCAGGGGTGGCGGGTTTGGGGGGGTTCTGAAAACAAGCAGAAAACTAGGAAGAGAAAGGCAGCACTGAAGGAGCCAGTGTTCAATGCACCTGTGGTTTTGTCCCCAGATGTGTGGACTGTTAGCGCATACAGGAGGGTTGTGGCGCATGGGCAGGCTAGCGGGGCTTGCACCTCCCTCTCTCGATAGAAATGAAGCTGCCCGTCTTCTCTTGGAGGTGGTGGTCAGACCGAAGGCCTGAGCCCTTGATTGCTCGCTGCTCCGCATTGCTCTTAGAAAGCTAGCATCTCAGGGGAAAGGTTCTGGCCTTTGCAGGGGAATTATTTCTATGCCGTGGGAATTATTGCTGTGGAGAAACTGTTTTCCTTCGGAGCAGAACAGCGCAAATAAGGGTTTGCCACCTTGAGTGTAGACAGAAGAAGAGCGAGGGGTGTGTGTGACAGAGGCTGCTTAGGGTGATCAGACCCCTCCCTGTGCCAGCAGCCGCAGGAAACCTACACAGAATCCCGTCTGTTCTCACCCCCAGTGATGGGACTCTCCTCCCCCCCCCACCCCGGGAAAAGGGGATTGCTCCTGTAGTATTCCCGCCCCAGGGTCCTGGACTAGCCCCGACCGACCGTCTGTTCTGCGATGAAGATTCAGCAGCCCCTCCCCCAGGCAGAAAGTTCTACTGAGTTTGCAGTTTTGGGCGGGGGGGGGGGGGGGGGCGTTATCTGTTTCCCATGCTGTTTTCTCAACTGGGATTCCTCACCTCCACTGTCTGATGGGGAACTGTCACGGCTCAGGTGGGGTGTCACCTGACGCTGCCACCACTCTGGATTTAGGTTCCCTTGAGAAGGCCCAGAGCCCCCTCCCAAGACCTTCAGGCCTCCCTTTTGGCCGAATAACAGGCACGAGGACCAGGCAGAGTGAACCAAGGAAAAGGTTTATTTTATAGGAGGTCAAACAACAAGGTGCAGAATAATAACAGTGAGTGGGTGAAAAGAAATCAAATGCCCTAACGCGTCTCAATATACACTGTCCCTAGCTCACTATCTGCAGTTCTGCATAGTGTGCGGGTTTGGGGGGGGGGGGGGGGGGAGTGGCTGAGGCTGACTCCGTCTCCCCCCCCCAATGTATCAGTTGCCCAGAGGATCATCGCTCAGCCGGAGCACAGGATTCGGCTGGACGAGTGCACCATGCGGGTGAAGGCAGAGCCCGTGGAGCTGCTGATGCCGGTGTCTGTGGAGGTGGGTTCCGCTGCCCTTGATGGTACCGGGGGGGGGGTCCACACTGCGGGCAGCTGAGGGTCCCTTTCCCCCTCTGAAAAAGAAGGCCAGCAGCATCCCTTTGCTCGTTCGGCGTAATTCCTTTTGCCTGCTCTGGACCATTCCGGCTCTCCCCGCGGCCTTCTCTCTGGTTGCCCATCTACCCAGCTGGAACAAGGGGAGGAGCCCCGCTGGGGGCACGTGGTGCTCCTGGCTGCGTCTGTGTGAGGAAAGGACCCCCTTCCAAGGCACGCAGCTGCAGGCGTGGTCAGGGTCCTTCGGGGCCCCTCTTGTGCGGTGGGTTCCCATTTCCTGGCACTGGGTATTTGGACCCGGGTCGCCCATGGGGATGCCTAACAATTTCTGTCAGGTTCCGCAGCAAGTAAAATCTCCACACACGTTCCCAAGGAAGCGTTATGCTTTATTCGATTACAAAACTGGTATACCCTATCCACAGGATTATTGTTAGCAATGACCATGGGGTGGGAAAAAAAGGTAAAGGTTCCCTTGCTCGAAAGCCAGTCGAGTCCAACTCTAGGGTTGCGGTGCTCATCTCCGTTTCCAAGCCGAAGAGCCAGCGCTGTCCGAAGACGTTTCCGTGGTCATGTGGCCGGCGTGACTAAACACCAAGGCGCACGGAACGCTGTTCCCTTCCCACCGAAGTGGTCCCTATTTATCTACTTGCAATGTCTTGCTTTCGAACGGCTAGGTTGGCAGGAGCTGGAACTAGAGACGGGAGCCCACTCTGTCATGCGGCACCCGGGTCTCGAACTGCTGAACTACTGACCTTCCACAGCCTGCAGTTCAGCATCTTAACCACTTGAGCCACTGCAGCTCAATGGGGCGGAAACATCCTTACATATAGCAGGACAGGGCGAATGGCTAAGCAAATGAAATTCAAGTGCGCCCGGGCGGGAATTCTCCCAATGGGAGGATACATGATAAGCGGGAGAGTCGCAGTGCCCCATGAGAGCCGAAAGATTCGCACCCGGGGTGGAACGCAAGCCCTCCCCCCTTCACAAGGCCAGACAGATAACGCCGTCTGGCAGAGCTGGCTCCCACGGTCTCCCTAGCAATGTTTACAGCAAGCGGCAGAGCAGCGAGCAAGCCCGGATTAGGGACGGGAACAAGCAAAACAGCGAGCCAGCTGACATCATGGGCTGCCCCAGAATCGATCATGGCACAGACAAGCACTTGTCGGCTAAACAGAGTTTGACAGGGACCGGGAATGGGCATTGGTTGCTGGCATACAGTTCAGGGGACCTGGCGAGGTGAGAGTCGGGCTCCCAGCGTCTCTTGAAGGCCGTCCGGAGGAAGGAGTGGGGGTGGGGACTTGTTGGCTGGTCACAGGCCCTCCTCCTGGCCCGCCAGAGGGAACCCTGTGACCTGGGTGACTTCTGCAGTTGAGCAGCAGGCCTCCCGTGTGGGCAGGAAGCTTGCCGGATGCCTCATCCCCCTGCGGAGCCGCAGCCCACAGGTGGGTGGTCCTGGCCGTCTGGGAGCCCATGGGTGGGAGGGAGGGCGGGAAGGCCCGCTGCCTGCTGGGCTCCTCCTCAGCCACCCTGGGAGGTGCCCATCGGAGCCGCTTCTCTTCTCTCCCCCCCCCTCCCCAGGTTGCCTTGGAGCGGAGCCCCCGGAAGGTCCTGCTGTCTGGGCTGCAGTTCCCCTCCCTCCCCAGGGAGCAGCTGCTGGACAAGCTGTCCCTCTTCTTCAGCAAGCGGCAGCAACAGGGTGGCGAGGTGGAGGCTGCCCAGTGGCTGAGCGGCCCTGGCCACGTGGTCCTGACCTTTCTGGAGGACGGAGGTATGGTGGTGGGGGGGGACGGACAGCCAGGGGATCCCGCCTGTGCGGGGAGGGGAGGGCGACTCCTTTGCTCCTTTTGGGGAGCCTGCCCCCCCGGGGGGGGGCCCTTCCCGACCCATGTCTTTGTTGCAAAGCAGTGTCTGAGTGGGGATAAATTTGGACTGGGACCAATGTTCCCTCTAAGCTGTGGAGTCTTGTGAGCAAAAATTCTACTTTGTGAGCTACTGGCATGAAAGTTGTGAGTGAGCAATTTGGCTGCTGCATAAATTAGTTTGCTCTGGAGCCGTCCCCTCCTGAGCTAGGACAAGAATATGTGAGCCGGAGGCTAAGAAAACTGTGAGCCAGCTCACACTAACTCAGCTTAGAGGGAACACTGACTAGGACTACGGCAAGGTGAGGACGGGGTGTGATCCTGTCCCCTCCCCAACCCTCATATCCTTGATCAGTGTTCCCTCTAAGCTGAGTTAGTGTCAGTTAGCTCAGTTTTTTAGCCTCCGGCTCACACATTTTTGTCTCAGCTCAGGAAAGATGTCTCCAGAGCAAGCTAATTTATGCAGTTGCCAAATCGCTCGCTCCCAACTTTAATGCCAGTAGCTCACCAAGTAGAATTTTTGCTCACAAGACTCCACAGCTTAGAGGGAACATTGTCCTTGATAGACCCCTGCCCCGCTTTGGTAGCCGTGGGAGAGGGGAGAGGCAAGGGCCGTCGAGGGACTTCTCATCCCCTTTCCTCTGCTGCAGAGGGGTAAAAGCAGATGGGGGAAGGACTGTTAACCCCCCGCCCCCAATCCCAAACCATGAGAGAGGGTATCTGCCAACTCCTAACATTAAAATAAAGGCTGGAAGTTCCAGGATCCGTTCCGTGAGCCATCCAGGGAACACACAGAAACAGCGGCCAGCCTGCAGCTGCTTCCCACGGCCTTCGTCTCCAGTCCAGCGGCAAATATCGACGATCCTGGAAAAGTTCTGCACCGCAGATCACCACCCCCACCCCACTCAGGGAACTCTGCCCCTACGGTGGAGCGATGCTGTTCCTTCGTCCAAAGCCCACCTCTGGCACCGAGCGCTTCAATGTGGGCTGCTCCCAGGAATCCCAGAGGACTTTGGGGCTAAGATCCAATGAATAAGGGATGCAGAAGCCACAGAGATTTTTAAGCTTATGTATGGTCCAGTGTTCCCGCTAAGCTGAGTTAGTGTGAGCTAGCTCACCGTTTTTTAGCCTCCGGCTCATGCATTTTTGTCTTAGGAAGGACAGCTCCAGAGCAAACTGATTTATGCAGTAGCTCATGAAGTAGCTCATGAAGTAGAATTTTTGCTCACAAGACTCCACAGCGTAGAGGGAACATTGGTATGGTCTACTAGAAGACTAAACTACGAGTTCCTAGAGCTTGTGTGTCTCGTGTAAAAAAGTACCACCTTTTTCTTGCCGGGGACTGGCCGCCTCTCAGCTCCCGGGAGACCCTCCTCCTCCTCCGAGGATTGATTTCCCCCCCACTTACTGTCTCTCTGTGTCTGTCACGGTTTTAAAAACTTCTCTTGGAAGACCACCCCAGGCCAGTGTGCTAGAAGTCCATCAAGGGAAGCAGCCGACTTAGTAAGCACGCAGTCTAATTGTCATCCATGTTCCCTTCTTTATTAAAGAGTTGTTTTTTTCCCCTACATACCACTATGTTTCCCAACATGCGGGTAGAAGGAAGAAGGGGTTAAGAAACAGAAATAAACAAAGTGAAGTTGTAATGGGTCTGTTACAGAACATGCAAGGAAGTCACACCGTCCTTCCCCTCTGATTTGGGGCATTTACATTCCTCCATATTGACTTTGGAGAGGCGCAGACTGGGTTGCACAAGCCCTACAAGGAAGCCAGAGACCACCAAGAGAGTGGTCACGTAACTCTTTGTATGTCTTGGCCACAAATCTTGAACATGTCCCCCCCCCCCCAGTTGCCGAGCGGCTTATCCAGAGAGGCCAGTTCCAGGTGACCATCGGGAAGGAGACAAGCAGAGTCAAGGTGTCGCCCTACCTGGATGGGAAAATATCAGACCTGATGGTGAGGATTAGTTAAATTAAAACAGTGGTCCTACCTAAGCTTTTGTAATATATGTATATGAACGTATATGTGTATGTTTTGTAATATATGTGTATGAACGTCAGGATACTGAGGACAGCGAGGCATGTTACGTGGATGTGTCTGGTGTGGAGGGGCAAGGGGTGATTTATCCGTGGCGCAAGATAAAAGGAATCGTGGTGGCTGTGAAGGTTGTCAGACTCCCATCGCATCAACGAAGCACACACTTGTAGGAAAAGATTTTACTTTATTTGAAGCAATAGGTGCATAACAGGATCACTGTTCAGAATGAGGCATAAGCATGGATCCCAATAGATTATAGCAAGTTCAAAAAGCTGAGGCCCAATTGCGGGACTTCCCGCGCGCGCCATTGAGCCTGGGAAGCAACGTTCCTACTTAATCATAACATACTGCTTCTCATGGATAATGCCATGAGATCACCCAAGCGACTACCCGCCAGCAACCACCTGTGGCCTTGAGAGATACGGACGTTCCTGCAACTAGGCAATTAAGCGCATAAACAGGCATACATGGGAAAGCAAAAGTAAACAAGCGCATACCCATAGAATAGGGAAACAAGAGCATGGACAGAGAAACGGGAAACGTATTGGCAGCTTGCTGACAGAGGTCTGGTTTTGATGCCAGGCCGGTATGGATTGCCGAATGGGTAACACAGCGTGGATGGCGGTGGGCGTTTATTTGGAAAGGTGCCTTCAAGTAAGAGAACGTCCTAGAGTTTGGAAATCGTAGAATACGGACTATATTTTGCATTAATATGAGTTTGCTGTGTTTAACTGAGATGGCTGAATGTTTCCGGTTGAGGGATAGTATAGGATTTGTTTTCTTACAATCTGTAGGGTATTGGGGTTAGGAAGGGCTTTCTCCACCCCACATGCACTTGATCGTGGGTCCTCATCAAACTAAACTGCGCGACAGCAAAGGATGTTTCAAGTCTGTCCAAAGTCAGCTCCTGCAGGGATCTGGGATCTAGTCACTGTTTGGATCTGCTGCCACTGGGGCTTCTTGCATTCATCGGTGGCTGCTGCAGGTCTCTGGCTGGCTGCTGTCTTCATTCACCCCCTGTTCTCCCTCCCCCCCCTTGTCCATTGCAGCTCCGTCCCGTGGTCTGTCCTCGGACTGTCCTGCTCTCAGGGATCCCAGACGTCTTGAACGAAGAGCTGATGCGTGAAGCCCTGGAGATCCACTTCCAAAAGCCCAGCAAGGGAGGGGGGGAAGTGGAAGCCGTGGCCTATGTCCCGCCCGGCCAGCGTGCCCTCGCTGTCTTTGAGCGAGAGGAGGGCGGAGCGCCCAGCCTGTCTTCTTGATCCCGCCCAGGCTGGCTGCTGAAATACACACCTGAGGGGGGGGGATCGAGAGTAACGCAGTCCCTTGCTCAGAGCTCTGGAAAACGAGGGACATTTTGGTCATTTGAATCCCGTGTCAGGACAGGGAAGTAGATATCGATGAAGAAATCTCACGGGTGTGCGGAAACGGAGCAGCTTTTCTTTGGGCCCCAAGTCACCCACCCAGGTGGGAGTGGTGGAGCCTCTGGAGCTTGCAGAGGGGCATTCTGGGATGGTGGCGAGCGGTTCCCGGTCTTTTGGCTCTGCTGGGCTGTCTCTCCCCCCCTCCCGTGCAAGTGTTTTGCATTTCTTGTTTGGTAATCTGTGATATTGGTTTGTTCATGCAATAAATTAATCAACCTCAAAAACTCAGTAAAGCGACACGATCACATTCATGGTGTCTGTGGAGAATTAACTGGGGTGGAGGGTCCTTGGGGTTGTTCTTTTTTTTTTTGCTTGGAGGAAAGCGATGGCGAACCTCAACAGCATGATAAAAAGTAGAGACCTCACCCTGCCAACAAAAGCCCGCGTGGTCAAAGCAATGGTATTCCCAGTAGTCATGTATGGCTGCGAGAGTTGCGACTATAGGGAAGGCCGAGCGCCGAAGAATAGATTCTTTTGAACTATGGTGCTGGAGAAGGCTCTTGAGAGTCCCTTGGACTGCAAGGAGATCAAATCAGTCAATCCTAAAAGGAATCAACCCTGACTGTTCCCTGGAAGGCCAGATAATGAAACTGAAGCTTTGGCCACCCAATGAGAAGGGAGCACTCCCTGGAGAAGATGACCCTGATGCTGGGAAAGACTGAAGGTCAAAGAAGACGGGGACGGCAAAGGATGAGATGGTCAGACAGTGTCATCGATGCAACGAACATGAAATTGAAACTGAGCAAACTTCAGAGGATTACAGAAGACAGGAGGGCCTGTCGCTGGACTGTGCGACTGAACAACAACATTACTCAGTGAAAGAGCTGGGGGGGGGGCGCGCGCAGGGATGTAAGTGTAAAAAAAGGAAATAAAAACAGTTTGGTAGAACAAAACTGCATACCTGTAGGGGCTCAGGGGAGACATCGGCCAGCTGTGTGTTTCAGCCCCGCCACCGCTGCAGCTCACAGACCCAAGCCCCCTTGCGGGGGGGGGGGGGGGGGTGACAAGACGGGCCCCTTTCTAAGCCTCCCCCCATTTATGACTGACCGGTGGTGCCCTGCGGAGGGGCCTTCCTCACCCAATGGGGGGAGGGAGACGAGGCGGTGGGCCACCCCCAAGGGGGACAGGTGAGCGACCTAGCAGAAGCGGGGCGGTCTACGGGAATCGACGCCCCTCCCGTCAAGGAACTTTCCCAGGGAATGGGCGCCAGGGCACCCTCGCGGCGGCGCTTCTGGACCAGACAGGAGGGGCTTGCGTCGAAGGGGGAACGGCCCCGGCGACCCCCAAGCAATGCTCCCTCTAAGCTGCGGAGTCTTGTGAGCAAGAATTCCACTTTGTGAGCTCCTGGCATTGCAGTTGTGAGCAGGCAGGTATTTGGCTGCTGCATCAATTGAGTTTGCACTGGAGCCCCATCCTTCCTGAGCGGAGACAAAAACGAGTGAGCCGGAGGCTAAAAAACTCTGAGCTGGCTCACACGAACTCAGCTCAGAGGGAACGCTGCCCCCAAGCCCTTTCCGGGAGAAGCCAAGCAGAGCCGCCGCCGTGGCCGTCGGAAGAAAAGGAGAAGGGGCCGGGCCGCCTGCCTGCCTGCCTGCCTGCCTGCCTTCCCCGCGGGCCGGGCCGCGCCTCCTCGAGCAAGGCCAGCCCCCTCTTCCTTCTCTTCCTCCTCCTCCTCCTCCTGGGGCACCGGCGGGGCTTTCGCTTTCGCTTCTCGGCTCGGCTCCCTGCAGGCAGGTTCGTGCAGCCGCAAAACGCC